TCTGACGGCACCCATTCACTGCAGAGCATCCACTGGTGAGCAAGTGATGCAATGCTATATTTCTCCAAATCTGTGCCCTGTTTCAGGTGTGTGGGCTCAAATCTGGCCAGTAGCGTTGCCTGCATGATCCATGAGCAATGCTGATGATTTCAGTTTATCAGTCATCCATGATCAGATGTTTCTCCTCATCTTTCCTCTGTAGGTTCTCTATGAGTTAGTGCTGCAGTGAGAAACGCCACCCTTCTGCTGTCAGCCCTGATGACTGCACCTTAACACACTCACACATGTACAGAGACAGGAGGGACGCGGGGTCACACACACACTATCTTATCATAACCAAAAGGAATTCTTCTTTTTTTTTTGTCCCAAAGAATGGAAATATATAACAAAATATCCTTACCAGTCGAGTAGATCTGCTCTACAGCGCATTAGGTAAATCTTTTGGATAGCATATATTTATGTATTTGATGTCCCAATCCATTACTTTATTTTAAACTATGATCAATAATATATACGTTTGGGAGATAAACAGTTTCTTTTCGTTCGTCTTGGTTTGGGATTTCTTTGTTTCTCTCGACACACTGTTAACTGTAGCATTACAGAACTGCTGTATGGGATTACATGCATATATCAGTCAAAATGAATAGAAATACCTCATTTAAGCAATCAAAAAAAAAAATAGACTGCTCCTGGTTAATGAAGATTGATCAAATTGAAACTGCTAGGAAAATGAGAGGAATTTTGCTGTGCAAAATCTACCTCCACTTCTGGCCCATTACAATAGAGAATTTCAGTTTTATTCTTTTCACTTTTGTAGTTTGACTTTTTTTTTAATTGGCAAGATAATTCGTCTTAAATTTCTAGACCTTTTTGTACACAGGACTGTAGCGAAATACTTTGCCCTTCATTTCTCAGTAACGCCCTCTTTTTACAGTGTCTTGCTTTTTTTTTTTTGAGCTAATATTTTTATACAAGGGTAGAATTATACTGTATTTTTGAAGGAAATATGCACTTGCGCACACTTTGTATGGGGTGGGCCTGTTTTGTGTTTTAATTTCAGAGCTCTCTTGCTCCAAAGACATTCCACTTACTCCGAGTAGCCTGCTTCTGTAAGCGATGGGGGGATTTCTACACAAACATGCATTTAAGCTCCCGAAATGACGGCAAGTGATTTGAGTCCACGCTAGGCAGCAGTATAGAATTCAAGCTTTCTTTCATGTAATCTCCTGTGATGAGGGATTTTTTTTTTTTTTTTGCCACGCTTGTAAAGAAACAGGAGGGTGCCATTGCAGGTGTGGTGGTCATATGTCATATTTGCTCCTGTTGGCTTGGAGAGACTGTGCCAACGTTGCATCCCATTGTGCCTAAAGCTCACTTTTTTAATGTATATGATGTTATTGTCTTCTCAAACAGCTTTAAAACGAAGTTTCACACATGTTGTTGTTGCCAGACTGCTGGAAGATTTTAGAGCAATAAAGGTGTTTAGTGGATTTGTATATTTCTTTATAGAAAAGTAGATGCAGAAGCTATAGGTTTTGTACATTTCTTCACCAGAGCTTTTGTAAATTTAAGACGCCAGACAGAGATCTTTCTAGGTTGTATCATATAGATGCTGTTCTCTTCATTTTTGGACTTTAACTGTTACAGATAAGTTTTTGTTTGGTGTGGCAAATAAAGATTTAAATTATGACATTTCAGTGTGACTGTTTTTTTTGTGTTTGCTTGATAAAGGTCCAGACTTATTGCATGTTTCAGCGCGCGTCTAAAACACATGAAGAAGTGCTGTTTTTTAATGCCTCCTTCTCTCAGAATGTTTTCTCAGGAATTAGTTCTTCTCACAATCTTCTTTATATGGCATTGCATTATATGTTTTGATCATCCAACTAAGCATTAAATATCATCTTACTATGGCAATTTATTGGAGATGACAATATTTATATCATTTTATGTAAGTATCTGCTTTAATGTCATTGAGATCTCATTGACTGAAATTACAAGCAACCAGAATTTCCTCACTTTTAAAATTAAATATAAATATCAGCATCTTCACCAAATTGCATATTTTTTGCCCAGTTCGAGCCTCTGAATAAAACTCCATATTCTCAGTATAATAGCCTAATTAATATATGAGCCGTAAAAGCCTGACATATCAAATGTGATACTCAACAACTCATATGCAAACTCCATGTTTAAAAATATTTAATTTAATGGTTCAATAAACTTCTGTTTTTAAAAATATTCGATTTTTCTGATGCAGGGTTATAATATAATGCAGTTGGCTATTGAAAGACTTAGTTCTGTTCCTACAGATTAACCCTACTGTTAAAATAATAGAAAGACCACATACCCCTCATATTTCTAATATTCCCCTCTAAAAGCTAATTACAATTACTACACCATAACTCTATCCCTTAAAGACACATTTTAGCATTCTCATAACTGAACTCATTAGTTTCAGTATGTTCTAACCCTAATGAAAAGTCATCATGATGTAATGAATTATTATAATGACTATAAAAGAACCCGTATGTGCGACCCACTAACACAGTTCAGTACGTGGGTGACGAGTGTGGGCGGGGTCAACCAATCGTGATGTCACACACGTGGGCGGTGCCAACAGCGTGTGCTCAAATACGTGGGCGGAGTCAAGCGGGTTCAAAAACAGATTGTGGGTAACTGGATGCTTTGTACGACTTTTCTCTTCTTACGTTCTCCAAAGGTGATTCTAATTCGACTTTCCGTGCTCCCCTGTATGTATAGAACTTGTTTTACACCTGTTAGTGTTGTATTGAGCTTCTGTCGTTTTCAAGTGCAGCATTTTAAGATCCGTTTCGTTGTGGTGTAAAGCAGTGCGCTCTTTTTTTTCCAGACATGGGGGAATGAGTTTTTTTGCACATTTATGCAGTGGACGCCTATGACAGAAGCCGTGTTACTATTTTCAAAGGTAATCTTTATGCCCAAAAGTTTCCATGCCTTTGTTTACGAGTTGATGCATATCGCTCGTGCGCGTTTAGTCGCACAAATGATGAGTTCTGCTTCCTGATAGACTTGTCGATAAAGTTCAAATGTCGTGCATTTGTTTATTGTTGTAAATACCAACACGTTTTATTAAAATGTAGACAGTGATTGTAAAAACTGTGCTGTAGGCCTGATGTTGGGAGCATTTTGCATTGCATGCACCCCAAAATCAAGATCTCAGACTAGAGGAAATGCACTGAAAGGTTACTAAAATCTTAGAAGTTCAAACCTCACGAGGACTGACCCATCACACCTTGATTGATACACTGCAGAAAAACTGCACTTTCCCAGCATGCAAGGGTCACTTGGCATAAAAGCATCTGCTTAATCACTAAACTGTATTTCTCTTTGTCAGGCATTGCTTCCAGTGGGAAAAGACTAGTTTCCAAACCAGCCATGAAACCTCCTGGCGAGGAAGAGAGCCTGCGGCTGGGCACACTTTTGCTCAACACCCTGGCAAGAGAAAGGCGTCTTTGGAGAGCACCAGTCCTTAAGAACGGTTGCATTCAGGTGGAAGCATATTTGTCATTTGCAGGCTACCTTAACCAGCAAGACCATTAAAAGCATGCATTTGCCATGTTTTGTGTGCTTTCAGGGTTCAGATATCAGCCCACCTCAGTACCAGGAGGTGATCGTGTGGTTGCGTGAAATGAGCAGCATTCTCCAGTTTTCCTCCGAGACATTCGCTTTGGGAGTCTGTGTTCTTAACAGCCTGCTTGCAACAGTCAAAGTAAGCGAAACAATGACACATTTCCTCCCATCACTAGAAAAGCTGAATGGCGTAGACTCCAAGTCTTCTTTCTTTGCAGACTCGGCTGAAATACCTCAAATGCATGGCCATCACCTCTCTGATCCTTGCTGCAAAGATCAACGAGGAAGATGAGGCGAGATGTTTGTTTTTTTTTCTTGTTGTAGCACAATAACAGAGACTCCCCACACAACATTTGAACCATTCCAGCACGTTTATTGTTCTGTTGTGTTGGTGAACAGGTGATCGCATCGGTTAAAGACCTGCTGAAGCAAAGCAGATGCAAATTCTCAACAGCTGAGATTCTTCGCATGGAGCGAGTCATATTGAACAAGCTGCACTGGGACCTTTACATGGCCACGCCGATGGACTTCATTCACATTGTGAGTCATCAGAAATCATACAACCCTTTTAATGTGCCTGTTGCAAACATTAGCAAAAACTGGCATTTGGTCCTTGACGTTGACAATCAATCCTTTCTTTTTGAACCTTGCCTTTTACACCGAGGCATTGTCATTTTAGAACAGAAAAGGCTCCTGTTCAAACTGTTGCTGGGGGGGGTCCCAATACTTTTGGCAATATAGTGTATCTTCATACTTTCTTTCCTACATGGTTGGGGTTCAGTTAAAATGTCTGAAAATATGACTGATGTTCTTTGCACAAGTTAGTGTGGCATAGACGTGGTCGAGAGGCGTTTAGCCGCGATCAGATCGATCAGAGCAACAGTTCACAAATGGAGAGCAATTGCTGTTTTGGCACACCACGGACAGTCATAAAATAGCCATTAGAAATGTAAAGCATGTGAAACGAGACCCAGTTAAAAATACCTCTGTGATTTGAAAAGAAAAAATTCTGATGCTTAAAAAAAAAATCTCTTAGTTAAGAAAATTTAATTAAAATATGGGAGAAACTGATGAGAATATGGGTCTATTTTCACCCCAAATCAAAATGATAAATATATTTTGGATAAAGAAAACCAAGCCTGTTTTTAGGACCATTAAGATGTTTTGTATGCAAATTTAATATAATTTACCAAAAAAGGCTGCACATTTATTAGCCGTTTTTGGTGCGACAAGCATTATAAGTGAACCTTTGGGGAAAATGATCAAATAATAAAAAACCCTCCTTTTTAAGTTTTTGTTTTGGTCATATGTTTTCTAGAGTTTTATTACCAGGAAATATTTTGGAATTACATATTTTTAATTTTTAGACCGGACTGGGTTCAGTGTGAAACCATTTCCATGGCAGATTAGCACATTTTACATTACTTCTCATTACTGTAATGCAAAAAATACTTTTGTATGTCTTCATTATCATAATTTGCAAAAAAAAACATGTATTATTAAATTAAGTACATTTACTGAATTAATTTTGTGCTGCTGAATAATAATAATAATGCCACAATGTTAAAAAAAAAAACCTTGATTGTCCTAAAAATGCTTTTTCTTTATGCATATGCATTATATATTTTGGGATGTTTTTGTGAGATCTCCCCATATATGTGTCATATTATAGATATCTAGATGTCTATAACACGTAGAATAATTAAATATAATTGCTTGTGAAATTAAAAAATATCTAATAGCATAGAAAAATAAATGTCCTTAAAACTTCCCAAATAAATATCCACAATTTAGAATAGCTTAAATATATTACCGTATGTGACTCGTCAGTCTCTTGGAGAAGTGAACGCTCACATACAGCCATAGATACAAAGGAAAGTCACACTTCCACAGTAAACATTTAACAAGGCAATGTGTATTACTACCCTGAACTCATGAAACCATCACGTCATTCCTATTCAATCAGCATGGCTTATTTCTTTTTCCAAACAGATGAAGCTAGAAAACATGTGCGTCAGTGTGAAATCAGAATGGGCCCTATTTATTAAGTGCACATTATTGTATTCATCAATGATGATCAGTGTAATATCGTTTGATGCTAATTAGTTGCCAATTTTGCAAACTCATATTTCGCTCGGACTTGAATGGAAAATCAACCAGGGAATCAATTCCCAAAAACAAACAAAAAAATCATTTTGGTGGGTTGTGCATGGCTTTCATGTTAACAAAATGGCCTGCATTGAGGAAAAACCGAATGTATCTGGATTGAGAATCAGAGCGAGAGACTATTGAACACAGCACACTGTTTACAGCCCGCTCATGAAGGGCTTACACACAAACCGTTTCTCCAGAGTACAGGTACAGACCCTGTTTTTCGGTGGCTCTGTTGGTTAAGCGGTTTGTTGTTTTCCCTCAGTTCCACGGCCTGCTGATGTCCAGGCGTCCTCAGCTGATGCTGTCCAGCTCTCAGAAGAGACCCTGCCTCCAGGCGTCGCTGTGGACCAGGCAGCTGCAGCACTGTATGGCCTGCCACCAGCTCTGGCACTTCAAGGGCTCCATATTGGCTTTGGCCATCATCACTTTGGAGCTGGAGAGGCTGACGCCTGATTGGTTCTCTGTTTTTACCGACCTGCTGAGGAAAGCACAGGTAGTCAAGAACACATCGCTAATCTTACAGCTTTTGGGAGATTGATATGCTGCTTGGAATATTTTGGCAAACTGCTAATGATGCATCAAAAAAAAAAAAATATATATATAATTAATCGCATCCAAAATAAAGGTTTGTTTACATAATATATGTATGTGTGCTGTGTATATTTATTATGTGTATATATAAATACACACACATGCATGTATATATTTCAGAAAAATATTGTGTTTATATATTAAATATATTTATAATATAAATGATATAAATATAGAAATGTAAATATTTTCAAAATATACTGTATGTGTGTGTATTTATATATACATAATAAATATACACCGAACACACATACATTATGCAAACAAAAACTTTTATTTTGTATGCGATTAATCGCGATTAATCGTTCGGCAGCAATAAATATATGTGTATATATATATTTACAAAAAAACTGAAAGCAGAATTAAAGCTTATTTAGCCGAAAACCAATACACTTTTAGTAATCACGATACGATTTTCTCTTTTTTTTTTTTTTTTTTACAAAATGAGATTTAATGCAAATTATAAATGAAAATTATTTTTTTTTATTGTTTCTCAGACAAAATGTTGCACATTTCTTTGTGAAATTTGCGTGCAACATTACATCCCTACTAATCATTAAGTATACTAGTATCTTTATTTTTTTTTTTTAAGCTACTAGTATCTGTTCCATTAGGTACTAATACATATTCATTAGCTACTAGTGCTTATTCTTTAAACACTGATACATTTTTAAAAGATACTAGTGTTTTTTTTTCATTAGATATTAGTACTTACTCAATAGACACTAGTACTTACTCGATAAATATTAATACACATTTATTAGATACTAGTACCTATTCCAAATGCTACCAGTAAGATTTTTTTGGGGTCACTTTATTTTAAGGTCTAGTTCTCACTATTTCCTAACTGTGACTTTTGCTTCAATAAACTCCTAATTTGCTGCTTATTAATAGTTAGTATGGTAGTTAAGTTTAGGGACTGGGTGGATTAAGGGATCTAAACTATGATCATACAGAATAAGGCATTAATATGTGCTTTATAAGTACTAATAAACAAACAATATGCTAGTAATATGCATGTTAGTTCATAGTGCGAATTGTTCCTTAAAATAAAGTTTTTCCATACATACGTTTTAAGGATTAAATGTTTAACCAGCTTGTAATAAAACATCACTGTTCGGGTCAGTGTTTTCAGACCCCATAAAACTGTTTTTAAAATATTTTTATTTTTTGGCCAAATGTTTCTGGGTTGCTGAAATTTCGGTGCATCACTATTAACTGTGCTTTTTTTTTTTTTTTTTTTAATACTTTATTTTTTTTTTTTTTTTTTTTTTTTTTTTTTTTTTTTTTTTTTTTGTTTTTTTTTTTTTTTTTTTTTAATACATTTTTTATAATTGTCCAAAAATGAATAATTTGCTCACCGCATAATCTTGTTATAAAACCCGTACGACTTTTTAATTTGCAGAAAACCGGTCTCTTTTTGAAAACTTGAAGGGTTAGTTCACCCAAAAATGAAAATTCTGTCATTAATTACTCACCCTCACGTCGTTCTAAACCCGTAAGACCTTCGTTCATCTTCGGAACACAATTTAAGATATTTCTGATGAAATCTGAGGGCTCTCTGACCCTCCCATAGACAGCAAGGTAACTACCACGATCAAGGCTCAGAAACATAGCAAGGAGATCGTTAAATTTAATCCATGTGGCATCAGCGGTTCAACCGTAATATTACGAAGCTATGAGAATACTTTTTGTGCGCAAAAGAAAAAGAAATAATTACTTTATTCAACAATTCGTCTCCTCTGCGTCACCCTACAGCGCCATTTTGGAGAGTAATTTTTTTTTCTTTTTGCGCACAAAGTATTCTTGTAGCGTCGTAATATTACAGTTGAACTGCTGCTGTCACATGGATTAATTTAACGATCTCCTTGCTATGTTTCTGGACCTTGATCGTGGTAGTTACCTTGCTGTCTATGGGAGGGTCAGAGAGCTCTCAGATTCCATCAAAAATATCTTAAATTGTGTTCCGAAGATGAACGGAGGTCTTACGGGTTTGGAACGAAATGAGGGTGAGTAATTAATGACAGAATTTTCATTTTTGGGTGAACTAACCCTTTTAAAGTGTTATGTTTCTCACACAAAGCTATTGCATGGCATTTGAAGACTTTAGCATCATATGGACCACTTTTATGGCACTTTTTCACCGACAGCATTTTAATCATTTCAATTTTTGGGTCAACTATAACCCCATAAAGTGCTTTGTCCATGGCATCCATTGCAGGGCTGTGCCATAACGTGACTCACGTGGATGTTTGCACTTGTTCTAGATGGAGAGCACAGAGTTCATCTGCTGCAAGGAGACGGTGGATGAGTACCTCACCGGCCTCGAGCTCTCCTTACACACCAACGCCGTCTACATTTTGGACACCTCCAGCATGCTGGCGTTCAGAGGACATGACACGCGGGAGGAGGATGGAGAGGGGAACAGAAAGAGACGAGCACAGAAAGGGGACCAAGACATGGACGACTTCTATGATGGTTTCTGGTGCTTTTATGATGAGGATGTGTCGGAGAAAACGGCAAACCATAGACTGCAGGATACACAAGAACAGATCTGGCCTTGTCCTCCGTTACGGCCCTCTTCTCGTCAGTAAGCTAGCGTGTGCTTCTGTGAGAGGTGGGAGCGGTTAAATGATGGCCAAGGCACTTTTTTATTTCTTTTATGAAAACTTTATGCAGCACTTTAACCATATTTGAGATGTCTTTACTCATTTTTTTTTTTTTAATTCCTTTTATTTTTACATTTTTCTATCTTTGAACAAGTTATTCATACTGTACGTCAGTGCAATGCTTTAACGATTATGGTGCTTTAACAGAAATCTTTTTGTTGGCCAATTAATTTCTTAATGGAGTTATGCTTTATAGTGTTATGCGTTTTGGAATTTATATCCATTGACGTTTCATAGCGTCAGAATAATGTTACTGTCTTGATTTTGTAGTGTTAATGTGAACAAGAGGACATTACATTTCTATTCAGACATTTCCGTGTTTTTTTTCCTGTTTTAACCAGAAACGCCTCGTCCCAACCCTCTTTTAAGGCAGCTACAGATATCATATTCCTCCTGAAATGAAACGAATAAAAATTCCCTTTTCTACATTTCCTTTTATTTATTTGGTTAAAAACAGCAGATTCTTATGTTTCTGTGTCCTTCCCTTGGAATAAAAGCAGATTATTGACATGTATTCTTTTGTTTTCATATTGTGTCAAGGCAAATGTGCAATTACAGCACCACTGAGGAAAATATAGTTTATATATAAGATTATGCCATTATTTACTCACCCCGTTTTTCCATTCTCTTGAAAATGAAAGTAACACAGGTTTTAAATGACAAAGGAAAAGAAATAAATTCAGTTTGGACTAAACTATACCTTTAAGTAATATGTAATAGAGCACATGTGAAAGGAAAGATTGTTTTTAATAAACTTAATAAAATATACATACATCCAAATTTCTGATCAGATTTTTTTTTTTTAAGAAATTAATACTTCTATTCAGCAGGGGTGCATTAAATTGGTCAAAAGTGTCAGTAAAGACTTTTGAACTTCTTTTGAAATTTCTATTCATCAAAGAATCTTAAAATAAGATGTATCAGTTTCACAAAAAATATGCAGCAACACAACTTTTTTCAACAACTGTAATCGGAAATGTTTCTTGAGCAGCAAATTATTTCTGAAGGATCATGTGACCCTGAAGACTGGAGTAATGATGCTGAAAATTCAGCTTTGCATCGCAGGATTAAATTACATTTCGCAACATATTCAAATAGAAAGTTATTTTAAATTTTAATAATATTTCATAATTTTTACTGTATTTTTGATCAAATAAATGCAGCCTTGGTGGGCAGAAGACATTTCCTACTGACCAAAAACTTTTAAACGGCAGTGTGCAGAATAACGCCGATGTCACACCTTTTATTAGCTGAGAAAAAGAGTTTGCCTTTTCCGTTGGTATACCAAAAAAATTGTGACTGTCAGCCGGAAATGCGTTTGATATGAATGTTTATTTAATGTTCAGCTTTGACCGCTGCCTTCATTTCTTTTCACCTCAACCAAGTTTCAATGTAAGCTACTTTCAGTTTTATTATTGTAAAATAAAAATCCAAAATCTGTTTATGTATCTATCAAGCAACACAGAGCACATCCCAACAGCTGAAGGAAATCAGGGGGAGCGTTTATTTCCAACATCAGTTGACAACATTGCCCCTTCTGCAAATGAAGATCCCTTCGTTCAGATGGCCTTTACTGCTACAGTACGGCTTCTATGATAAACAACAGAACCTCAATACCATACAGCCTAATATTAAAATACAAAAAATATTCTTTGCATATCTGCTGTCATGAACTTTTAAAAACAGCACCTGCAGACTGCTTTATTTAGCCATACCCATGCAGGCTTATATAATAATAAAATCATACACGTGTGCATTAGTATATCACTGTGCTGTGCTAATGAGTTTGGCTCCGATCTTAAATACTACTCTACACTGGCAAGGGAAACACGTACTACTCAATACGTACGTCACAAAATTTGGCCTGACTGTAAGACGAATGCTTAGTACCAAAACAAAATGTGTATTAAAACAGAACACACTCGCGCTCCGAAACAAACCGGTCCCAAAAATAAAACTGGGTTGACGAGGGGAGGGGCATTACAAATGACCCCCACCCACCTGAAAGAAAAACAAACAAAATGTAGCAACACAAGAACAAATTCAGTCCCCATAATGCATCTCTCTGTCTTCCCATCAGGGTCTTTGGTCCTTCAACACAATGTCATGAGGAACATGTCAAAAAACAAAAGCTGATGCTGCAACGTTAAAAGAGGAAAGTCCACGGATGGCCTGCGATGTGCTCATAAATTAACTGAAAGAAAACAAACACAAAACAAGAAAATGAATCAGAAAATAAAATTAAACTGAAGATGTAGAAGAATGAAACATGCAAATAAACTTATGAATGGAAGTGTATTAGAAACACAAATATACACGCATGTTGTGATATATGGAACAAATGAATGTATGATATAACTTGAGTAACTTGGTTGGAGTTCCCCCCATTACTTTATCACATTCAAACAGAAAATAACACATTTAGCATATTTTATGGAATATCAGTCACATTTTTTATTATCTGAAACGTGCTGCAACGTATATTTCAAAGCTACCTACATAATGCAAACCACATTAAGCACTCGAAACGCTCAGAATTAGAATGAGAGAGGTACATAAGTTGGTCCCACTCTATTAGTTTAGGGACCAGTTCTCATTATTAACTATGACTTTTCCCTCAATACACTCCTAATGTGCTGCTTATTAATAGTTAGTAAGGTATTTAGTTCAGGTATGGGGTACGCAAGTAATATGCATGCTAATAAACAACTAGTTAATAATGAGAATTGGTCCTTAAAATAAAGTGTTACCCATACGTTTATTAGTATCGCACATTTCCAACACGCTGGTAATTCTAAATGCAATAATAAAATGTGACTTTTTTTTTTTTCTTTCAACAATGCAGTTTTGATCTGCTGTGACTTAGACCATATTTTCTGGTAAATTAGTGTTATGTGACTATATTAAAGTGCAAATTTCATTGGGTGGATCCATGTCAGGTGCAAACCACAAAATGGATGCTCTGTGAATGTTACACAAAGATACCATCAATAACCACAAGATGGTGCTAGATAAGCTTCATTGAGCTGCAAGAGGTCAGAATTGGCCGCATCCTGAATTTAACGAATACTTTTGACGAAGTTGAAAAATCAATGGTTCTTGGCAAAATGCTGCTGAATCTGCAGAACCTTGGCAAAAAAAAAAACAAAAAAAAAAACAGTTTCTTTTGGATGGTCTTCACTGGCAGCATTACTATTCTACTCTTACTACTTCAGCAGTATAAAGTAAGTACACTGTGTGCAGTATGCAAATTTGTGTGTGCACTGAAAGTAATATCAGCCTGGCTTCTGACATCTTTCTTTTGAGATTATTCAATCAGGTGACCAAAAGTCATATTTTGGGATGCATTTGGTGTCCACAAACATGCCAAAAATTGGCGTGACTGTTACATCCTGGATTTTAGCTACTTATTTATGCATGTACAGTGGTGGCCAAAATGATTAGAACACTAGTATTTCCAGCAGCTTAAAATGGTTTCAAGTCAGTTATTTCTATGTTTTGCTGTAGTGTGTCAGTAGGAAATATCAGTTTACATTTCCAAACATTCATTGTGCCATTAATTGTAATAATGGAGAGATGTTTGTGCTGCACACAGAGATCTGATCTGATCATCAGCAGTCTGTCTGGAGTCACATGAAGAAACAGAACAAACTGAGACAGACTCAATCCAGAAGAACTGTGTCTCCAAGACGCTTCAAGAAGCCTTCCTGCAAAGCTACAGTAGTGTTAAAAGTTTTAGGCACTTGTAAATCATTTTGGCCAGCACTGTAAGAAGCTTTCATGATTTGGATTTCGTTTCACTGCACATGTGAGAACAGCTGAATCACTGCGCGTGGAGAAAAAAGAAGGAAGGATAACTCACTTTTTCTTGTCTTTGTCCTTCTTGAGGGGCTGTGAGAGCGAGAGGGTCTCGGCGGCCACCTTCCTCCTGTTGAAGGCGTTCATCTCCTCCTCCAGCTCCCGTCTCTTCTCCTCCACCTTCCTCTTCTCCTCCTGGTGCATGCGCTTCAGCTGTTCGAACTTCTCATGTAACTGAGGAGAGACACACAAGTGAGCGTTATGCCAGACACTTTGTCTGAACCTGCACTATTTCCACACGGACTTGCATCTTGTCAAGCAGGACGATTATGTGGCATGTCACTGGTTTCATTTAAAGGTCCACTGAAGTGACTAGAAACACGCAGCATTATTCAATGTGTTGATGTAATTTCAACTGAAACAGGAAGACAAGTACAGCAGCTCCGCCCCTTTAAAAAAAAAAGCCAATAGCGTTTTGTTTACATCACAGCTCGGCAAAGCCACGTTTGACAGCTTATGGCAGCCACAGTCTAATAGATTCAATATGAAACTGTTTCTAAACCAAACAGTGATCATAATCATGCTGAGGATGTATAGTTTGAAAAGTGTGTAATATGTTGGTTCACGGCACCGGTGGTATCTCTTCTATTCGTCAGTGTTGTTTCTAATGCAGAGTCTGTATAACCGTTCCTCCTCCTAATCTCATCCATATCAATATAAAATATAGCATTCTGGGTAGAATTCAAATGGGTCCGATACATTTTGTGGTCTGCGCAGACTCGCGCTTATAACCCGCACTGTGCTATCAGGTTTGTGTGACAACGCAAAACCAGGCTTCCCTCCAATGGAAAGCACGTTTACTCTGTTTGAATCGTTCCCTGTCCCCTATATAGTGCACTACGTGCTATTCAGCATGCAGAAAACACTAATTCTGTTAACAAGTGACCGATTTCAGCTGCAGCTTCAGCGTCTATTTATAGTGTAGGTGGCGGGGCGCTTCGGATTCTAGAGAGCATTTGATTGGACAAACTCTGCTGAAGAGCAGGATGATGTCATCAAAATCACTGATCCATACTGCTGAAGTGATAGACTGTAAGTTGTGAATCTTCTAAAATGCTAATTTTGTCACTGTTTTGGAGCACACTAGCTTACAGACAACCTTAAGGCTAACATATTCATACTAAAAGCCAAAAAACTTCTATTTTGATTTCATGGGGACTTTAAGATGACTGGTTGGAGTCTGATGGTTGATGTTTTTGATAAGTAGAATAAATCGTAATGCGTCAGGACTAACCTCTCTCTCCTTCTCCTTCAGCTCGCCCTCCGTCTCCTTCACTTTGTTCACAAACATCTGCCGCATCTCCTCTTCCTTCCTTTGCAGGTCTCCAAGAAACTCCTTCCTTTTGGCTTCATACGTCTCCTGTAGACTGTAGAGGGGTCATACAGAATTTTTTTTTTTTTAATAAAATATCAATAATATTAAATATTATGAGTGTATTTAAGTATATTAGTGTTCACACCAACACACAATTGACCCTTTGCAAAGACCTGCCCCCTTAGTTACAGTTGCTATGTCCGACAAGCCACTAAACATTTTCTCACGCAGTGAAAAATACATGGTGGAGAAAAGAGGAAACTGACAACACACCGACAGACAAGACAGAGCAGCTTCTGGTATGAAACAAAGTCTCAGCTTTCAAATGTTGTCTTTTTTTTTAGAAATTCAAATAAATACCGTGTCGTGACAGACCGCTGTTTAGTAAGAGGTACATGAACTGATCGTCTTTTCATATTTACTAGTTAAAGCACAAAATAAACAGGAATGAACATCAGAAGGTATCTTGTTTCAACCACTTGATCATTTTTCAAGTTTAAGCCCACCAAAGTGAATCTACTCTCCTGTCTGGTTTGTTTGTCGGACAAAACGGCAGATTCGGCGTTATGATTGGTCAGATCGCCTGTCAGTCAAA